CCTGATCTCTCACCTCCCCTTCCATCACTCTGACCCCTGTCTTTCCATCAGTTTGAGACCAGGTAATTCTGGGGTGTTTGCTGAATGCTCTGCCCAAAGCAAGTTTCACCACCGATGATTGACGCTCTAAAGCAGTGGTTCTTGGCCTTCTTAACGCTGCGACCCTTTAATAGAGTTCCTCGTGTTGTGGAGACCCCAACCACACCATTATTTTTGTGGCTGCTTCATAACTGATTTTGCTACCGTCGCGGATCGTAATGTCAATACCTGACATGCAGGATATCTGATGTGGCAGCCCTGTGACCTACAGGTTGGGAGCCGCTGCTCCAAGCGGCAGGAGAGCTTTCTGTGAAGCAGTCCTTTGTCCTGTGGTGAGTGTGTGCTTTCTGACTCCCTACATGCTGTAACCCCATGTATAAAACTTGGGCCCAGACCTATAAAGGTTAACCTTAGTGCTTCAGGGGAGATTTATGATTGCCTCAACTCGCTTTTTCTTTCTTCTCCAAACAGTAGCTTGTTTGTGTGAACAACCTTATGCATGATATTTGGACCTACGTGACTTTTAAGCCAGTGTTCAAGGTGGAAGTTGAGTATACTCGAATAGGAAAGTATGCTGGGCTAAGATTGTGACCGAATAATAAGGTTCACAATGTCTATAAGCTTATCGATCTCCCGTAATTAAGGAGGATCCATTACAAAGATACAGTGTTAGGCTGACACTCCACGATTTCCCCTCTCCCGTTCCCTCCTTCCTTCTTAGAACTGTATTCCCTGTGCTTTTTATTTTCTACCATAACCATTATAGCAGATTATTTTCATGAGTTCTTAGAAAGGCAGTAACCGTGCTTCAGTTATGATTTAAATGAATTTCCACTATCATTTGTGTATCAAGCTTATAAAACTTCACGAGTGACCCACTGGCGGATTGATTCAAATAAGGCTGACATCATCGTAGTTCCTTATCTTGATACGAACCACAGAAGCAGGCACCGTCATCTCAGCCCACTGCGTCTCCTCAGAAAGGTTCTCTGGCTAATGAGCCCAAGTTAGTACGGTCAATCGAATGACTGAAGCCAGCTATAAGCAGATGTCTAGTCTGGCATATGACTGGCCATGGCCATCTTCTGTTTCGGCGTGTTAACTCAGCACAGATGCTGTGGCATTGTAAAGCATCAGTTAGCATCATTTAGGCCATGCATTTGGCTCAGTGCGGTGCTTGCCTTCAAAGGCGGCGTGGTGGGGATTTGTGTTTATAACTTGATCTGCGTTAGTATTTTCCCCGAATAGTCCCTGTCCTCCAAATGACAGGTGATCTGCCTGTTGTTTGTCCATATGTGGAGACTTCAGTGAAGACTACAGTCAGGGCAACATCACCTGCCCTGGGGCCTTTGTGTTCATCAGTTCTCCACAGCAGGACAGAGGTTCAGATAGCCACGGAGGCGGCGCTTACCTCTGAAGGGACCGTATGCCCAGAGCTATGGGATGTACATGTAATCCCAGCTTTTTGGGAGCTGAGAGGGGAAAGATTTCTTCTACTCAGAAGCTGGAGTCCAGGTTATGTAAAAAGAAGGAAGGGAAAGAGAAGGAGCTAACCCTTCATTTTGCCAGTGGAAGCAAAATATATTGAATATTTTTTTTTCAAAACTCCACTGAACTAAAAGCCAAAGGTTTCCAAAAAACAAACAAAAAAAAAATGATGTGGAAAAAATGAAGCTAAGTGGAAGCTTCAAAGTTAATCAACAGAACTACTTAGCTTTGCATGATGGCTGCGTTTCTAGAAAAGAGGGGTAAAAATAAAACTGAAAGTGCTTTAAGGGAGCTGTCAAAAATGGAACTTTATGCATAAAAAATGTGCTGAAATTGCAGAAACTGCCTAAGTAAAATTAAGCATTGCCTGTCTCCAAAATGGTCGGCTTTGATGTTAGATGATGAAATGGCTCCGAGTTCTAAATCTCACATTTCGTGCTTTTTTCTTAACCCCACTTTTGCCAACATTTTGGGAAAGTTCTGTGCATGAAAACCAGTACCACAAGTGGCATCAAAAGAGCGGTCCTCCTAACCCACTAAGGAGAGGCCGCCTTCCGCTTGAGAAAGACATTCATTGTGGTGAAGATGGGTGAGATTCCTCAGGTGATTTATGCTTGCAGACTGTTTCAGGAGAGCTATGAGGTTTACTCATCAATGTGAGGACTTTGTGGGAAACAGGAAGACACGCTGGGGTCCTGGAAGAATGTTGCAGGAACTAGCTACTGACTGTACTTTTGAAGATGCTCTTGGCTCTTAGGCCACAAATGTGACACTTTCTTAGAGCTGGTCACGAAAGCTGATGTTGTCTGTAAATCAGTGGTCCCTAAGCCAATCACAAACTGCAGTTTTCTGTGGAGACTCTATGGAATACAAGTGTGTGCATCACAGTTCCGACTCACTGAGCACGTGGGGTACGCTGGAGACTTCTGTGTTGTGTGAGAGGCTTCCCACGTGATGCTCTCATTGCTAGCTCAGGGAGTGCCTAATACGGTCTGATAGCTGGTAATAAAAACAAATCACTTCCCAGCTACCATATCTGACACCCAGTTCTCTTGCCCATATTACAAACAGAAATTTTTCTAAGAAGTGGTGGTTCTTGGGCTCAAGCAATCCACCTGTCTCCACTTCCTGAGTAGCTGGGACTACAAGTATTAGGCAGACCCAAATAAAGACATTTAATCATTTTATAGACAATTTTTTGGAATACCTGTGCAGGACCAAACAATCCCATCTTTGCTGAATCACTGGCCCTCAGCCTACAACATATAGGTGCCTTCATGTGCATGCACAGTCATGCATGTGCGCACACACACACACTACATACCTCCAGGGAAACATGGAGGAGTGGTGGTTGGTAGCTTTCCAGACCATGAGCTATGAGGTGGCCCCAGAAGCTGAGCAGCCATGCAGTCCTGCTTGCATGAAAAGAAAAATTAAATGTTAATGAGGGGAAAAAAAGAGAGACTATTTGAAGGTGAGTGCTGTCTAGATGGCTGAGGGATTTCCCTTCTGAGTGGCTGTCCCTCTCTGGTGTTCAGGTGCATTCCTGCTACACGGGAGATACCTGTATGCTGTGCTGCCTGCACATCATTGCTCTCCCACCAGCTGTGACCACCTTCCCATCGGGAGGCAGCCCCAGTGACTCACGGAGAGCTCAGATCCTCTCCTAGCTGTAAATGGTCATTGGAGGTAGCTATCTCTGGATTCCCAGCTGGGGTGGTCTCCTTACAGTCCCTTGAAGCATAAGCTGAGTTTCCCTGTTCTCTGCCCATGCCATTTCCTCCCTGGCTCAATGGGACAAGTCCAGGAACTTGCCTGACTACAGATTGTGCTTTCTACCCCCAGCTTCCTGGCTCTTTGAGTGTCCTCCTATTTTATGACATTTTTCCTCAAATCCTTCTTTTCCTCATCTTGTTTCCTCCGCTTAAGAAAACTCACATTCCCTTGTCATCTACTAACGTTTAGAATTCTAAAAGCCACACTTGATCTTTTTGTGAAGATAGAGTGGTTTTTGTTGTTGTTGTTGCTGGTGGTGGTGGTGTTGTCTTTCTTTCTTCCTTTCTTCCTTTCTTTCTTCCTTTCTTTCTTCCTTTCTTTCTTTCTTTCTTTCTTTCCTTCCTTCCTTCCTTCCTTCCCTCTTTCTTTCTTTCTTTCTTTCTTTCTTTCTTTCTTTCTTTCTTTCT